TGTGTCTGTGTCTGTGTGTGTGTATGTGCGTTTGTTCGTTTGTTTCTCTGTCATGAACAAACACATACATAACACAAAGAACAAAGACGTAAATATGCATGTGTGTGTATGTATGTATATGTACATGTATGTGTATCTGTACATGTGTATGTAAGTATGTGTGTATTTGTATATACACATTTGCAGTATATCGTCTGATATCGTAATTTGCTGTACTACATTATTTCTTCGTATATTGTGTTATATTCGGTTAGATTCTGCCAAACCTTCTTACTCTGTAGCATATTGGTTATTAAGTTTTAATGCACTACACTATATAGGGCAATATTACTTTGCATGATATTTGTTTGCATGTTTTCGCCGGTTCTATTCTGTTGTATTTCATTCTACTTTTCGATCAACTACGGTATGTTGTGTTGCATTATGCTTTGCTATGCTATACAATGGTGTGTAGATCATACTGAAACATTTGAATTTCAATTTTGAAATGATGGTAGATTTGCGATGTTACAGCATAGTACATTATACTGTAGTATATCAGATGGCATGATATGGTACGATATGCCTAATACAATACAACATGATACAAGCATAAGTAAGTGTAGTTTAAATTAAAGGGTTATGACATACTAACAGACTAACATATGACAAGAATAGAATTCTAAGGGCCAGGATATGACATGGTATGGCATGGTATTATACTGTAGAATCATTCAGGCGCGCATCTGTCCAAGGAGATGGATGGCTCGGACGCCCTCGCCAGAAGAAGACCATCTCTTTGTCAGTCTCGGGGTGGATACACAAGCCTGGTTCAGGGCTTAGGGTCTAGGGCTTAAGGTTTGGGGCTCTCGGGTTCTTGGGTTCAGGGTTTAGGGTTTGAGGTTTAGGGCTCTCGGGTTCTTGGGTTTAGGGTTCTAAACGTGCTGTGGGGTACTGCTGCCACGGAGCATTGGACTTCAGGAAGCCTTTGCGCAAAGGATCCGGGGACTTCGTCGAGCTGTTCATTCTTGGGGGATCCGTAGAATGATAATCATGCTTGTGCTATCATAGTACGTATAAGTGAACGCATACTTGTGATCATAGTAGCTTGTCCCAGGTTTGGATCTTGCAGCCGGGCAGATCTCCACACAACATATCGCGTGAGCGGTCATCAGCTCCGTGTTTGGGGCTTCGGGCAGAAGGTTTGGGGGTTCAAGGGACATCATGCTGATGGACTACGTCCTGCTTTGGTCGTGAAGGGATATACTACGGTATCCTACAACTCCCCTAGTTCAGGGCCTCAGTTCAACTGGGGATCAGCAACACTGCGGTCTTTCGTGCTCAGTCCAAGCAGTATAGTGGCCGGACTGGTCAGACCAGATTTTGGAGTATGTTGTACTGAAACGTTAAGGAACCCTACAGAATAATGATCGGAATTATTCAGGCCCCCATACCAAACCCTAAACCCGATATCCTCCTAAACCCCAGAAGTATAACAGGAGCCCTAAAGAGGAATAGTACTAGTGAGGCAGGCGACCCTGCACCCCCAACCCTCAACCCTAAACCCTAAACCCTAAACCCTAAAAAGAAGACTAGCGAAGCCTTTTAGAGGATGTATATAGAACCCCAAAACCCCCAAAAAAAAACCAGAGAAGCCTTTTAGAGGATGTAGAGAAACCTCCGGAAAATCCTGCTGACTTTGGGCCTCGGACACCCCGTCTCACTCGACTCTGCGCTGGCGGCTGCTTGGAAAATGACCTAAGCCGGATGGCCACAAAATTCAGGGGTTTTAAAATTTTAGGGCCGTTTAGGGTTCAGGGCTTGGTGTTTGCAAGGGGTCTAGTGTCAGCGTCAACTTCAGCACACTTTTCGCAATCGGGCGCACCTCCTCGTCCGCAACTTCGGCTGGTGGAAAAGCATCTGACTCCTCTCCTGCGGAAAAAGTCCGGTTTAGGGTTTAGGGTTTATAGGGCAACAGTAGCCAGCGCTTCCTTGCGAAAAGCCACATCTTCGAAGCCCATACGAATCCAAAGCCAATGCTCCCGCGAGATAACCCGACATACGCCCGACTTGCTTATGAGAGCTTCAGAACCCTAAACCCTAAACCCTAAGCCCTAAACCCTAAACCCCATACACCCAGTAAACCCTATAAGCCCTATAAACCCTATAAGCCCTATAAGCCCTAAACCCTAAAAACCCAAGTGTTCGACCCTGGGTCTTAGGTTCCTCAGTTTGGTGGAGCTCCCTTATCAGTCAAGGCAGCCATAGCCGAAAAAGAGGCAATAATACGAAAATTGCTTAAAGTAGGGTTTAGGGTGTAAGGTTTCGGGTTTAGGGTTTAGAGTTTAGGGTTTAGGGTGAACAACAGCAACAAGAATAACAACAATACCAACAAGAATAATAGTAATGGCCTGCATTCTCCTCCTCAAGGTCCTCGCTGAACCAATCCTGACCGCGGTAATGGACAGGACTTGCGCAGGGCTCGGCTGAAATCCTAAACCCTCAACCTTCTGAGCGCCCCTACATGCCGTCGCTGAAAAGCCTGGCTGAGCGTCCTCCTCGTCTATTTCATGAAGAAGTGACATCTCTTCCTCAGCTGGAGGCAAATTCCTTCTCAGGTCCTTCGGCAGTTGAAAAAACCTACATCCTAAACCCTAAACCCTACCATCCTAAACCCTAAACCTACCATCCGAAACCCTACAACCCTAATAAGGTCCTAGAGCCCTGAAGCCCTGAGGCCAAAAAGCCCCTTAAATCCTGAGGCCCCAGAGCCCTGAACCGCGCCCTAAACCTAGGGTTTAGGGTTTAGGGCTTTGGGTTTAGGGTTTAGGGCTTAGGGTTGGGTTTAGGAATTAGGGCTTTGGGATTAGGGTTTAGGGCTTTAGGTTTAGGGTTTAGGGTAACCCTAAACCCTACGCCGCCGGGCAGCTGGAACGCTCATGGAGGATGCCGGCCCGTCGCCAGGCTGGTCCCATCGGATCTCGAAGGCGCCGTACTCGAGCTGACGCCTTTTTGGAGGGGAAGCGCCTGCTTTACGGTTCCATGGGGGTCCCTTTAAAGGGCTTAGGGTTTAGGATGAAGTTAAGGTTTATGGTTTAGGGTTTAGGATTTAATTAAGGTTTAGGGTTTAGGGTTCCAGAAGGGTCCCCCTAACTGGTTAGGATTTAGGGTTTAGGGTTCCATAGAGGGGTCCCTTTAAGGGTTTAGGATTAAGGGCTTAGGGCTTCTGGTTCCGTAGGAGTCCCTTTAGGGGTTGCTGTAAGGATTCCAGAAGGGATAGGTCGGATAGGGTTAAGGGGTTTGGGGTTTCGTGCACGTCACGTGCCGAGAGGAAGAAAAATGAGAGTGAAAACGATACTAGTACGAGTCATAGCAACACAAAGGTTCATGCTTGCAGATGTCAACAACATCGTCATAGCTTGACTTTACAATCGACATAGCAGTTCTACTCTTGACGGAGCCCCAAACCCTAAAAATCCCAACCTTTGTTGAAGCCTTATAGTAGATCCCTTCTGGAACCCTTAAAGGGACCCCTATGGAACCCTAAACCCTAAATCCTCAATCCTGAAAGGGACCTCTATGGAACCCTAAACCCTAAATCCTAAACCCTTGAAGGGAATTTTGTGGAGCCCTAAACCCAAAATCCTAAACCCTTAAAGGGACCTCTATGAAACCCTAAACTCTAAATCCTAAACCCTTAAAGGGAATTGTACGGAGCCCTAAACCCTAAATCCTAAACCCTTAAATTAAAGGGACCCCTGTCCTAAACCCTCAATCGCAGCCTTGTGGATCCCTTCTGGAACCCTTAAAGGAACCCTTGCAGGGACCCTCATAGAACCCTCGCGCCCAAACCCTAAACCCTAAACCCCTAAACCCTCAACCCCTCAACCCTAAACTCCTCAACCCCTAAACCCCTAAACCCTCGCACCTCAACCCTAAACCCTAAACCCTCGCACCTCACGATACCGCTCGTCCACTCCCAGGTCCCGGGATACAGAGCTTCCACCCTGCACGGGGGAGCAGGGGAGAATATGGTTTAGGGTTTAGGGGTGTGGGTTTAGGCTTTAGGGTTTCGAGTTTAGGGGTTTAGGGTTGAGGGGTCAGGGGTTCAGGGATGGTGCGGGGCTTAGGGTTTGGGGCCTTATTGGGTTTGGTTTTAAGGCTTTGGGGCCTTATTGGGTTTGGTTTTAAGGCTGTTTTTTTCTCAAAGAGCCTTTTTCCACAGCAAAATTAGGGCTTAGGGGTTTAGGGGTTTAGGGTCTTCTGTTGAGACTATAGGAGCTTCAGGGCTTTGGCGATTCGGGCTCGGGATTATCAGGGTCCTAAGCCCTACCTCTTCGGGATTCCTTATTTTGATTTCCTTAGACGTATGTATATATATATATATATGTATGTATGTATGTATGTATGTATGTATGTATGTATGTATGTATGTGTGTATGTATGTATGTACGTACAGGTCAAGCCTAAACCGAGGTTGTAAGCTCGTTGATCGATGGGCCTGTCCCCAATTCCATAGTCTCGCCGGACACCCTTCAAGTCCTCAGCGCAGGGTTTAAGGGTTTAGGGGTCTAGGTTTTTTTTAGGGTTTTGGGTTTAGGGTTTCGGGTTTAGGGCTTCGGGGGTTAAAGGGCTTAGGGGTCGAGGGGTTTAGCGTTTGGGGCTAAGATTCGAAGATTAAACGCAGAGCACGGGCCGTGGGAGCTGCAATGCAGCAGGGGGAGCCCGACATACCAAACTCTGCACTGCACGGTTTAGGGTTTAGGGTTTAGGGTTTAGGGTTTCGGGTTTAGGGTTTAGGGTTTGTTTAGGGTTTTAGGGGGTTTCAAGGTTTTAAAAGTTTAGGGTTTAGGGCTTTAGGGAATCACCTCTAAACCCTAAACCCCTAAACCCTAGACCCTAAACCCTAAAGCCAACCTGTTATACAAGCCCTGAAGGCCCTGAACCCCTGAACCTCCTTCAGGGGTTTCCGAGTAGCCCCTTGGTAATAAGGGTACCCTTTTTCCTACTACTTGGTTGTAGCACGGGAACCCAAGAAGAAAAAGGGGAAAAGGGTAATACTGGGGAGCATAAACCCCTACACCCTGAACACCTGTAACCCCATTAGGGTTTAGGGTACTAATCGCTGCAAGACTCCTCAGCCCAGCAGACGTACCGTCCATCTGCTTCATCGGCGTCCCACTGCACTTCGAAAGAGCCTGACACGACCAAGGCTTGTCATCACAGGAAGAGCTCAGATCTACGGAGCACCGTCTGGGTGGATTTCCCCGATGATCGCCGACAGCACCTCCTGGGCGATCAGCTCTTCAAAACTCTGCAACTACAAGCGATTGAGGCATGGGCTACACGCAACTCTTGCAGCAAGGCTTCGCCGTTGGAGGATCTGGCGTCCACTCGGTCTCCGACCTAAGATTCATGAAGTTAAACCCTAAACCCTTACGTGTGACCTAATGAGCTGCTCCGCAGATTAGGTAGGCTCCCTGACTTGGTAGTCGCAGAAAATCTGGTGATGTTTCCTTGGCTGGCTCTGCGGGCTCAGTGCAAACCACTTCGCCGATCCTGGGTTTTTGTAACTAGACTTATCAGGAAGGTAACTACAGCTATGAGTGCTTGTAGTTATAAGAGCAAGTAAGGTACTTCTACTGCCCAGCAGCATGTAGCGCGGAAGACACACGCAAGTCTCTGGCCCACCGTCAGGATCATCCCATCTTACGACAAAGGTCTTGTTGGCAAAGACTTCCTGCGCAGGACTTGACGATGTCAATCTTAACTGCTTCAAGTATACCAAGTTATTGTCAGGCAAATGCAAAAAAGAGGGATAATACTAATCATACTGATAATTATAAGAAAGAATGCTAACAAAAAGAAACAATAATATTATTCTAAATGAAAATAATAATGCTGCTCATGAATGATAACAACAATGATAACAATACTAACAACAATGATATATCGTAATAAGGTAATAAAATAATCTTAATAAAAATATCATTCATAATCACACTAATAATACTACTACTACTACTACTACTACGACTACTACAAATAAAACATAATAACAATAATATCAACCACACTAATAACCCTAAAGATCATAACGCTAATACTCATGCCAATAATAACCAAAAAATGTAGATAAGATAACGGACGAGCCCGATCCTCCACGACGCCCGGATACCACGCTTGATCGTCTTCAAACATCGCCTCCACCCAATCACCCTTCACATAGTCATCATCAACCTCCACAATCCTCAGCGGCCCTAAACTCTAAATCCTCGGGCTCAGGGGCGTAGGGTTTAGGGCTCAGGCCGCCAGAGATCCGACTAGAACTTCAAGTTGTTTAGGGTTTAGGTTTAGGGGTTAGGGTTTGTTCTTTTTTGATAACCTTTTCCACAGTCAATCCTGAAGAGAGCCCCAGCGGGCAGGCAGTAATCCCTCACCTACACAAACCAAGGGACCGTTCTTCGCATGCCCTATGTAAAGAGCCGGCTAGGGTTTAGAGTCTAGAACTTGCAGCGACATTGTAGCGTTTGAGGCACACATACTGCCTTGCTGCACCGGCAGACCGCTGCCTAGAAGCAGACCTTGACCCTGGCCGCAGCACAGCACATCTCTCCATCTGCGGCGCAGCTAGTACCCTATTCAAGAATTGCCAGAACTGTACATACATGTACTAACATGCGGCTCCATATAACAACTATGATATACGTGCTATGATATACAGGATATAAATATATACATACTACTAATGATGACATTCACTACTAGCATTAGCACTGTCCATGTTCCGACGGCGACGACGACGACGACTACTACTACGACCAGTATTACTATTACTATTATTTTTGTCTGTTAATCACTATTAGTACTGGTAGTACTGTTATTACTGTATTGGTGAAACATTTTCAGCATCATGGTTCTTACGATTCTTCATCATTCAAGGGGTTCCAACGGTGGGACGAAGCTAGGCGGGGTAATCCGAGATAAGAGACCCTAGGCAAAAGATCCCTAATCCTACCCTACCTTCATCCCACCTTGCGACGCCTCCGGTTACTATGATTTGGTAGTATTATCAAAGACTACCCACTTCGTGATTACCATTACCTTTACGATTCATAAACCCCAAACCCCAAACCGTAGCTGTTGTTTCAGCCCCTCTGCCATGGGACCTCATCTCCTCGGCATCACAGAGCGAGGTCTCCGGTCCTGGCAGAGGCGTTTTCTGAAGGGGGAGGGGGGGGGGCGGGGTTTAGGCTTCATGGGTTTGGGTCTTGGGGTTAAGGGTTCCTAAGGCTCTCAGGCTTAGGGGCTTTTGGGCTTCAGGGTCTCAGGGTTTGTTGGATATGTTGCTGTTTTTTTTGTAGGGCAGCTGAGGAGCTTCGACCAGAGAAGCAGAAAGAGCTGCTCAGGATCAATATGCTAAGCCAGCAAAAACGGATAGGGCTTAGAACTTCGGGAACACATGTTGATGTCTGCTTCGGCACCATCCTGAGTTGGAAGTTTCATGTTTTGCCATCGGCCGTGGAATCCGTCAAGGACAAGAGAACAAGGAATGAATCGGCCAATGCATTGCGCCACGGCAAGCGAGAGCTCGTGCATGCACTGCCACCGTTCTTGAAGTATGTCAGGGATCGCGTCTACAGGAAGAACTTGAACCCGATTCCCGGCAGAGAATCTTGCGCACAAGTAAACTTTCACCAGAGATCCCGGAAAGAGAGACACCTGAGAGCAGAGTCCCTACATAAGAATACATAAGTCTACCAGAATATACCCACCCAATCCCTGTGCTAATTACTAACTCGCGGTACCTGGAGTGTCTTAGGACTTAATAAGAAAGGGTCATTACAAGTGCCCTCAAAAGGGGTTTTACGAAAAAATGACTTGCGCGTCCTCATGCTTCCTTACGTATCAACCTACTTACTGCATCCCATGATAGTACCCTTCTACAACCCTTCAAAGCAACCCCTACAACACCTGTTGAAAGAACCCTGAAGCTCAAATTCATTTAAGTCTAAATTTAAATACTCCCTGGCCGCCAGCCGGTCCTCCATCCGGATCATCCCAGGAGACCATGAATGTACCGTTTCCGAGGTCCTGGCAGGACAGTAAAAGGCATCCATCAGTGCATTTCCTCCGGTTGGAGCTTGGGGTTGGATCTTAAGGTTTAGGGGTTTAAGGTTTAGGCTTGAGGGTTTGGGCTTTAGGGTTTTAGGGTTTAGGGGTTTAGGGGTTTAGGTTTTAGGGTTTTAATGGTTTTAGGGTTAGGGTTTAAAGGGTTGGAGGCTCTAGGCTCGCATGGTTTAGGGTTGTAGGGTTCGGGTTTCCCTGTGTGTGCTTCTGATTGCTTGTCTGTTGTTTGGTCTGTGGTTGTTTCTCGAGATCTCCGGCTGCACTCCGGCTGTTTTCCCGTGGTAGGCTGCGTCGATTAATGCACCGACCGACGACACGCAAGAAACCTTCGATTCGCACATGAGCGTCTGAGAGATGCTAAGTGTGATGTCCTTGACAGCTGTTGCGTTGTACCACTCGCCATCCTCGAACATGGCCAGCACCAGATGTCCTTTTACTCTCAGAAAAGGAAACGTAAGCAGATTTGTGGAGTAACGTTAATCCGCAACTCGACATGCTTCGAAGACGAGCCGCCAGGTGTGTAGGACAAGCGTAGAACTCGGAGGTCCGGTATAGCCTGGGTTCTTGTTGAGGGATTTAAT